AGAATTTTGGTCTAGCTTGGGTACAATCATATAAGGCATGATAAACAAACGATGATTGTACCCAAGTGAGAGAGAAAGACCCAGAGAAACCCTCGAACCACAAGCGAGAAACAACAACTACTACTACTCTACTACAACACCAAATCAATAGWCCCTTTTCGAGTTCCAAATTACCGCTGTGTTTCTTGATTACAGACTCATTTRCWCAGGSTWAGCCTCGAATCAGTGTCTAAATATTCACAAATACCAAAGGTAAAGTAAAGAATGCACAAGTTCAACAATACAAGCACTTTGAAACTTGACGGACCTTGACTGGAACACGTGAATATTCTACACAAAATCGAGGCTAAGYCTGAGTAAATGAGTCTGTAATCAAGRAACACAGCGGTAATTTGGAACTCGAAAAGGGTCTATTTCGGATCGCATTGGCGAGAGACGAGCGATTTCATSGCTACGCCGCTTGTGCTTCCCAAACCATATACTCATTTCAGTAAGGTTAGTGACCAAAAACCTACAAAGCTGAAATTGCCGAGTGTCATGTGAAACGTTTCAAAACCAACAAGTAAAGCTTTGATACAAATTTCCAYTTGTCTTGAGGAAGCTCACAGGTGAAACTGGTAAAATCTAATCGAAAAATGGCGACCAATTTGAATAACTGTTGTTCTGCACCAACTAGCGACAGACTAGCCTCGGGTTCATGTGGAAACATAAAAGCGTTTTCACGTGTTGAATGTTTTCACATGTAAAATGTATCTACCCATAATCCTTGGCGGTCACAGCTTCGTAGCTTCTCAGATGACTTTATTGAAATGGGTATTTCTGACGCGAGTGAAAAACGTCTGCGCATGCTCTGAATCCGTATGCAAATTAATCAAAAGATATGTAAATTTAACTTTCAAACATGCCTGAGATATTAGACTTCACAAARTGCCAAAACTTAGTGTCTATGCTTGAAACTTAAGGCTAATTCTTCTATATTGTGTTTGTTAATACAGTATCTTGGTCTGACAAAAGTACTTTCGATTTTTATCGTATTATATACTTGGAGAAAACAAACATTTATTTTTTCACACACTCTTCAAAATTCTTAGAAAACGTGCTGAAATGCACGCACGCGCAAACGTTTTTCTCTTAGAGTGTCGTTATATCTTAAATATAAACTTCGTCCTTACGGTTACCACTTAAGTCCAGTACATCYTCAATACTAGATCTTTTTCTCAATTTCTTTGATTCTTGGCTATTTTTTCCTTTGCCATCGACTTCGTCTCCAGCACCTTCATCCGAATCCAAGTTATCTATCGACTCAGCACTAAAATTCCAGAAACCTTTGCCACTTATTTTCCTGGGTGGGTCCGGCAACGCTATCGTGGGAACGTCTGGTGGTTTAGAGACCCCAAATCGTGATGTTTTTGGGTTTTCGTAAGATGATGCTGTATCTTCGATTGATGGTGAAGAGGGGCTTGACATGGCCTGGTTTATATGGGCTTGTTTGTCTTCATCACTTTCCTGTTTTGGCGGTGTTTTCTGAGTAACAACAAAGAAATATTCACGAGTGAAGCAAATAGACAAAATTCATTGAAAACCTTGGAAAATAAAGGACAGTGTAACGATATTGCACTCGCCTCTTTCGTCTAGGGTCTCAGTCTCTTTAGGGTCTCAGTTTCCATTTCTGAATTCACCATCCTCATTGGAWGTCTCTCTTGATTATGGATTTTCTCTAGGTTCTACGGGTTTTCTCCCTCCGCAAAAACCAACACGCTAAATTCTATTTCAATGTGAGATTTAACCGTGCCCTGACTTGTCCTTAAGGTACGTACACACGGTGCAACATTGCACGCAACATTGCACGCAATAGGATTGTTGCAGCGTGTGTCTACCCCTAAAACTTGTTGCGGGCAACGTTGCATGCAACAAATCTGAAGTTGAATCGCGCTCTACTTTTGCAACATTGTGCGCAACAAATTTCATCACTGCAACATTGCGTGCAACATTGCGTGCAACATTTTGAAATTTCCAGCCAATAAGCTTGCACCAAATTTATAACTGCTGATCAAATATCTTAGCATAGCAGACTGACACAAGCGATGTTGCGTGATTTTGTTGCAATGTGTGTCACCCCGATTTAAATTTGTTGCTTGCAATGCTGCACCGTGTGTCCGCACCTATAAAGTCCTTGGTGTCAGCCCTACGTGCCACACAGGTATGAATAGAGGATAATGATGATGACATGTCTTGTCCAAATGTTGCTTTTCCATTTCAGACCACGTGTCATTCCCTAGAGTATCATTTCTTTGTTTAACGGCTACGCATGAAAAGGCACATGAATATGGATATAGCTCATACAAAGAATCTTATTCTCAAGAGAATGACACTTGGTCTAAAATGGGAAAAATTACGCCCAAGCTTAAGATGTCTATATCATCCCCTCCCCCCTCACCCCACACGTAGTACAAAGAAATGGCCTCTACTATTATTATAAGATGTATCTTATACCTCCACTTGAAATCTTGCTGACCCTTGCAGTTCTTCATTCACACTACCAGCAGGACTCGACACGTTAGACGCAGTGGACTGGGCAAAAGGTGTAACCGCAAACCTTGATACTTTGGGCTCAACATCCTTATTTGGATTTCCCACAGGAAGTGACGTTGTTGATGAATCATTTGATTCATTTTCTGTATTCGTTGTAGCCTCCGAAGGAGAAGACGTTTGAGGAGAATTGGTATTTTTGAGRTTCGATACAGAAAATCTTGAACGAGGTTGTATATTTACATTCGGCACTTCTATCAATGGCAGTTGCCTTTGGTCGCTACTGTTTGTATTCTCTGCACTCATTGGTTCAAAAGTTGTCGATGAATACGAAGAGGGTTGGGAAGGGGATTGTTGTGGTCTGTCGCCTTGGGATCCCTTATCTGGGGGGTCAAAGAGATTTGACAAAGAGCTTGGAKTTTTACTCCTCGTTGTTGGCTCTCTCGGTTTCTCTACTCGGTTTGTGCTCGAGCTGTTTTGCAGTTGGCTGAAAGCAGCTCGTAAATGTTCCGGAATTTTATCGGGATCGGGATCTGAGTGTCCGAACCCCATGTTATGTCTTGCCGACTGCCGAATCAACGGCGCATCATCATTCGAATCATCGGACACTCTTTCGGATACTGTATCCATGACTTCGTCATTCACATCCTTTGAAAATGAAACATTCTTTTTGAAGGCCCGACGCCGAGCGATCGTTTCAGAAACATCCAAGGGACTTTGGCCAAGCAACACCGGAATCGATCCATTAATCTTCTCATTATCAACTAAATCCAAACTTGGGGGTCTAGCCTTGACTTGTAATCCTGGTAAAATAGTCGTACTACCAGTCATATCTTTCGCATTAATGATGTTTAATCTTAAAGCCATTTCCGGGTACAAAACACCAACGTTTTCCTCAGATACTTGGCATGTTGTGTCAGGTTTCTCGACMTCAGGTCGATTTGACGATCTTCGTAGTATGGATTTAACAGGGAGGTTTTTCTTGTTGAACGAAGGGTTTCTAGACACAATTTCGCGCGCTTCGTACGTTTCAGCAGGTTCTTTTTCATCTTTGTCCTTGTGGGGAGCCGTAGTGACGGTAAAACGACCGACCGTGTATGTCCGATTGGTGAGTAACGAATGCGCTGTCCAGTCTTCCAGCTGCAAGGAAATATAAATGTATAGTTAGTACTAACATTAAACCCAATTTAAGGCATAGGAGCAGGCGCACTCTACCACCATAATAATTTACCCTTAGGTTTTTTTCATGTATTATTTCATATTGTTGTAAGTGGAAATAAAAAACCTTGAACCTTGAGTTGGTTCATAGTTAATGGAGCGGAATGCTTTGGAAACTCCAAGGTCTCACTAACTCAAGTCGTGGGGATATCTATTGCTCGCGATCGGAATGCACTCGGCCCGTTGTAAATTCTATTGACGGGAGATACACTTATTTCAATAAAGTTGGTCAACAAAAATCTAGAAAGCCGTGATCGCTGAGAATCATGGGAAATATTTCATATTCAACAAGTAAAGGTTTCGACACAAACTGTAGTTACAGTAGTTGAGGATGCTCAGAGGAGGTGAACTTGTAACTGGTAGAAGATCTCAAGTCCATCAACAGTTATCAAGCGCTTGAAACATGTAAAATGTATCTACCCATAATCCTTGTCGG